AAAGTTAAAGATAATCTTATAGCTCCGTTTAATAGGCAAGAACAAAATGAACATGATAAATACCTTATTCAATGGCTGATATGTGATCTTTAGCCCTTTACAGTTGTTGACTATCCTTCTTTTAGAAGTTTTGTTAATTTTTTTTGTCCGCGTTATGTTATTTCAGATTGATATAAAGCAAAAAGTAAGGATCATTTTAATTTTATTATTATTATTATTATATTTTAATAATATTTAACTTACATTTATTTAAATAGATTTGATTGTTAATACTTTTATGATTCAAAGAAATAATATCATCAATAAACTTTATCAAATTGCAGGAAAATTCTCATTAACAGCTGATATTTGGACTTCTACTATAAATCAGGAGGCTTTTTTAGGACTTACTCTTCACTATATTGATTCTAATTGGAAACTTTGTAATTTTCTTCTTGATATAATTCCATTTGCTATTAAACATTCTGGAGTGAATATTGCACAAGAAATAATGCGTGTCTTAGAAGAATTTAATATTTCTAGAAAAATTATCGCGCTTACAACTGACAATGATGCTGCAATGATACTTTGTGGAAAAGAAATTGCCTCAGCTTTAGAAAATGAATTTTCTTCAATGAATTTCTCACATTATCATTGTGCAGCACATGTATTAAATCTGAGAGTAAAGGAAGGATTAAAAATAGTCAGTAATTCTATTTTAAAAGTATGTCAAATAATGTGTAATATTAAAAATTCAACATGACTTTGTGATTCACTTCGTGACTTTTGCAATTTAAAAAAAGTTAAATATCTTAAACCAATGTTAGATGTGGATATACGTTGGAATTCAACATATTATATGTTAAAATGATTTAAAGAACTTGAATCAGTATTAGTATTACTTATAGCTGACAATCCTTCTATTAATACACTTTATCCTAATAATGATGATTGGAATTCAATTAAGGTAAATTAATCTAAAATAATATTTCTTTATATTTATAAATATTTATTTTAATAAAATTATTTTTCAATAGGATACTTTATTACTTCTTGAACCTTTAGAAAGGGCTACTAGATATTTATCAGCATTATCATATCCAACTATAGGTGATGTGTATCTTGTTTTTACAGGAATTCAGACACATTTAGAAAAATATGCAAATGATAATAGTTTTACAGCATGTGAAGTAGCAGTTTCAATATCTCGTAAAATTAAAAAATATTGGTTAATTATGGATAGTTCTTTAACAATCTCAGTAATACTAGATACCCGAAGTAAACTTTCCATTTTTTCAGAAGAATCGAAACCAAATGCTCGAGCTCATATTCAATCTATGTTTGAATCCTATAAAGAACAGTCTTCCTCATCCACAACCATGACTCCATCTACTCCTGTTAAAAAAAATCGCCAATATTTCACTCAACTTCGACAAAATATAGCATCTATAAATGAAATTTCAACTCCAGTATTAGAAATTGAAACAGAATTAAATCATTATCTTGAACTACCAGTTGATGAAGAAACTGAACCTCTTTTATGGTGGCAAGCTCATTCAAATGAATTTCCAGTTTTGAGTAAGATGGCTCGAGATTATCTATCAATACAAGCTACAAGTGTCGCGTCCGAGCAGGCATTTTCAATTGCAGGAAATGTAATAACAAAAAATCGGAATCGTTTATTACCAGAAACAGCAAGAGCTTATTTATGTGTGAAGAGTTGGATGGATAAAAATTTAGTAAATTAGTCAAATAATGAATAAATGATGTATAAAATATATGAAATAGCAATAATAATGAATAAATAACGAAAGATTGACAATTAAATTAATTATTGAATTTATTTTATATATTTACATAAGCATTACTAATAATATACATTATTCTTTGTAGATTCTAAAATACATGACAATTACGGTGAATAATAATTGCCGTTAGTGCGATAATTAGTAGCCTGAACCAAATATGCTTTATTTTATTTTAAATTTTTTGATAAAATACATAAATAAATGATTACGCCAACTCTTATATTAATTGTAAACATAACGATTTATATATATTAATTAATTTATTTAATTTATTTTAAATAATTTAATTTTATCAGAGTCGGTTCCGTTATGAGTGTCACTCAGAACCGCGGTTCAGAGCCGTTCGATCGGTTCGACTCACTTCGACTCACTTCGACTCGCAGAACCAGAACCGAACCGATAGAGTCGTCCCCATCCCTAACTTGCGGGTGCACTTAATCTTCTAGTGAGTGAAAGATGTAAACTGAATTCATATAATCCAAATTTATTTAGAGTAATTATCTGGTTTTATCAGCTGGAATATCAAAATCCCATCAGGATGATGTATTCCTATCGTAAACTATAATACCTGACTGCAAGTGAGATTTAACACCATAATTTTCTCTTCAATAACAAGCTGACTTGCCGTAAAGGTCTGAGCAAATAGAAAAAGGAAGATCCGATGATAGCTTCTGTAGTAGAATCAATGGTAAATGCACCAAACTCATTTACAGAAGGGTTTACATTATCACGATCGAAACGCCCAAAACAAAAAAAATAAGAGAAAACAAATGATATGCACAGATAACGCTCCAGTGAATAATACAATAGCACCACGAGGCATTTGATACACAGAAATCATTTTAGATGTTTATCCTTTTTTAAACCCAAACAAACTTTAAACAGTACTGTGTAGCATAACAAAGCCAATAATTCTTCAGTAGCATCATGGAATTAATCATCATCTTCTTCAATGATACCATCTGGAGCCAAAGGATTGTTTCTTTCGCGATTATGATATTCCCAATCCAATTTGCATAAACCATTACAAACACAACGTTTCCCCGATAAACATATTAAATGTTTGCCATACTGGTTGTTCAAAATATTCGAGATATTACTATCGCAGTCTTTAACGCTCGTCATATCCTGGTATTTGTTAAGAATACACCACTTATTAACATACCCGTTGCAAAAAACTAATATTTTCGTTCCGATTTTCAACAAACCAAAATGTAAAAAATATTGAGAAAGACTACATAATTTTGAATTGGAAAACTAAATCAGTATTTCTTTCTAAATTAATCTGTTAATAGGCATAGTAAGGGATGAAACTGCCAGAAAAAAATAAAAAATGAGTTAATGTAAATTTGAACATATTTCAGCCTGAAAATCATATTTGGCATATAAAAGTAAAATTGATTTTTCCTGGCAGTTTCCCCTTAGTTTCCCCTTTCGATTGCAAAGTGTTTCATATATTAAATTGTAAACTGATAACTGGCTGGCTGCTTTCTCGATAAAGTTGCTAAATAATTTATATAATTGACGATAAATAAACAAAACACCTCCAATTAAGGTTGCTATCTAGTTTCGGTAGTTTCGGCTATTAACTAAACTAGTTTCGGTAAGTTTAAACTATTGAATTTTAGTTTCGAACAGCAACACTACCCCCAATTAATGGTGTTATCAATCTCAAACTAGGTCTACGGTAATGCCATCAATTCCGAAAAAACATCATCTTGTGAAATATTGATTTCACAAAGCATCTTACGAGAATTATTCTCTCTTCTTGTAGTTGGAACCGGTTAAATGCGGTTTCCCGGTTAAAAAGCCAGTCAAAATTAGCCACTATATATATTACCAGAGATAGTAATTTTTGTTACTGATAACATACGAACGGGTGACTTCAGGAGCAAAATTTTTATTGAACAAAATCATCGATGATTCCATTCCATTAAGATGCAAATCTTTTGCAAAAATCATTATTTCCTCACGTTCCTTCTAATCATAAATAACAGAAGGGGATTTCACATTATTTATAAAGCAAATTATTTAGGCGGTGTAAGAATCAAATATCGCAAATGAAGAGTTTGCTATGAAAAGGTATTCAATTTCAAAGGATTTTAGCAAATATTTCTTAATGTGGTAGGTAATTATTTGGTATACATTTTTTTATTTAATAATCTAACATCTTCTAATAATATTATTAGTGATACATAATTGGTTTTCGTCTTATTACAAAAGTTACTGAAACAAATTATTGTATGTTAGTTATGGATTATGCATCGGGAGGGGATTTACATAATCATTTACAAAGAAACTAAAGAAACTTCACGGATTTAACATGGAATAAAAAATGGATAGATGTTTTGTGGAAATGGGTATATTTTATGCTTATTTTTATTATATAAAATTTATTCATAAATTAAGCTATTAATATTTTTTTTAAAATTGTAATCGAAAAGACTCAATATAAATCTTATTTACCGAGATATACATAGTGGAAATATGTGATATGCTATTAAAATTGAGGTACGGATCATATGATTTACTATGTCTCGTACCACAATTTGCATACCACCCATATTTATTTTGTTGAAAAAAATAATATATATTAGTTATAGCAAATTAGTGATTTATGATTATCACAACCTGCAAATAATACTTCTTTAAATAATGAAGTAAAGTATATGGAGTAATAATATATTAATAAATGGACATTATAGTTGATTTTATTAAACATATTATCTAAATCGGCACTAAACTTTATGGAATGTATTCATAAGGTGAATGTCTAGGCGTAATAACTTTACAATTTCAATTTTACAATTTAGAATCGATATTCATTCCTTCTTATCGTTTTCATTAATATTAAAAGCAATCAAGTCATATCGAGCATATTATCGAGCTAATGGTTAAATTCGTTATGACCCAAATATATCTTTCAATAAAAGGTACCTACGTCGTATTCAATTTATGATTTATTATTTAGTTATATGTAGTTCGTTAATACATAAATCTCCCCAGATAGTAATGAATGAAGCTTTCATAAACCTACGTTGAAAGAAAATTTTAGCAATTAATTGTAATTCACTAACTTAGGCAAGCAATAGGAAATTAATGATTCTTCGCAATTATCACCCACCATATTATACATCATTTTTTTATATTTACCTTGCTCATATTTTTGCATAAATATCTGGACTTTATGTTTTCAATTCAATTGTTTTAAAATTTTTCTAGAAACATTTCAAAATTTCAAAACAATTTTCAGTTTATTCGTGTTGTAAAAACGTATTATTACTTCAACTCAATTATCTTATTGATAATAAAAAAATAGTGTTTACGTGCAGATGATTGTTTTGAAAATATTAGAATCTCGTTTTGATAATAACTTTTTTTGTCATATTGATATTATCATTGAGCATTATGGTAAGTTTTATTAGTACACACGAATGCTTTTCTTAAACTTTTGTTAATATTGTATACTCAAATAATGGTAACTTCATTATATTTCGCCCGACTTTTATAGGAATATGTTTAGAGATGAAAAATAAATACCATGAAATGGATTTGAATGAAGATACACTCGACTTTAAGCAAGGTTGTTTGAATATATACACATTCTCGCAGTATCCAGGAACCGAAAGACATCTTTGGGAAAAATAATGATGTTCTTATGGCAAATATAAATTTGTTCGTCGAATCAGATTCTTTTTTTTTTATTATCCCTATGAGTACAACATAATACTTAATTTAAATATATAAATATGATTAAGGAAGTGATCGTTAAAATACGGGTATAAATTAAGCGGTTGGAAGGGTAGGAAAAAATCCCGATTTTATTTGAACATTTATTCTTTATTCCTTTAAATGAAACTACTGTAGATCAATAGGGTAGGGTTTAGATTTTCATTAAAAAAATGTCGCTTTGATAGAAAAAAATATTACGCTGATCTTCTTGTACAAACTTGTCTTGTCTTCCAAATATAGTCAAAATGAATCCAAATAAATTTAATATTTTTTTACACTCTTCAAAAATTTTTTTAATAATTTTTTTGTTTTTTTAAAAGAATGTCTGCACAATTTTTTCCCAAGTTAAGCCAAAATTATATTGACATTTTGGATGATGAAGATTACTATGATATCACAATTGAAGTTGGCAAAGACCCGGATGTGAAAATATTTCGTGCGCATATGAACATATTATGTTATCGATCTCCATATTTACGACGAATGTTGACTTCCAATAAAAAGAATGATGACGCCCTAATTCATATCAAGTTGCCAAATATTTTACCAGATAATTTTCAAATTATTTTGAGGTAAGTCTAAGCAGCATCTCATTATTTATTTTATTTGATCACGTCATCTTAAAATGATGAGAATTTTTTTTTTATTATGTAGGTACATTTATGGTGGAATTATTTCAGTAAATGAAATGGATACTTCAGACATTTTGAAATTATTGGTTAATGCTGATGAGCTTCTTTGTCAGGAACTAGTTGATTATTTACAGTGTTATTTAATTGAAAACAAAATTGAATGGATTGAACAACATTTTGAGCTCACAAATAGAACAAGTTTTCAATTTAATTCATTATCAAAACTTCAAGTATATTGCACAGACCTTATGGCTAACTCACCTGAAAAAATATTTCGATCAGTTGATTTTACATCACTTCCTGAAAAGTCTTTGATTTCACTTATCAAAAGAGATGAATTGCAGATGAAGGAATGTGAAGTTTGGGAGTATGTATTAAGATGGGGACTGGAAAAAAATCCTACGCTTATTCATGATCCTTCAACTTGGTCAGATGATGATTTTAAAATGATGAAGGGTACTTTACAAAACTGTTTACCCTTGATTAGATTTTTTAGTTTATCTTCCGAAGATTTTTTTGAGAAAGTTCATCCGTATAAAAAGATTTTAAGTCCTCAACTTTATGAAGATGTGTTAAAATCTTATTTGAATCCTAATAGTGAACCAAGTGATAATATTTTACTGCCTAGGAATCGAAAAATTGACCTTATTGATTCAACAATTGTTAATTTAAATATTGTTTCATTTATTTCAAGATGGATTGATAAAATAGACACTAAAAGCAAATTCGCTTATACTAGAGAGTTGTATTTACCATACAAATTTAAATTACTATTAAGTGGAAACAGAGATGGATTCGAACCCGATAAGTTTCATGAATTATGTGATAATATACCTAACACAGTTACATTCGTCAAAGCAAAAGGGACAGATGAAATTCTTGGTGGATTTAATCCTTTAAAATGGGAAAAATCAAGTGGTTATCTACTAACCAAAGATAGTTTTATATTTTCTTTTAAGAATAAGGATAATTTTAAAGATCAAATTTTAAGCCGTGTAGATGATACAAGCAAAGCAATATTTTGTTATAATAATTATGGCCCATCATTTGGTGATGATCTTCGAATATCAAATAATATCCTTTCTAGTAAATTAGTTAATCGTCGTCGCACGATGACTTTTATTCTTACTAATTATTGCAGACTAAATAGTTATGAAAAAAAGATAAGTACAAGTGAAGAATTTTCTATAGAAGATTATGAAGTATATCAAATTGTCAAAGAATAAATTTTAATATATTGTTGGAGGTTCCTTCAAATTTTTATTTTTAATGTGTAATTTTAACAAATTTTTCCTTTGAAGTTTTTGTATTTTTTTGTGAGATTTTTATGAATTTGCAATAATAAAATTAATCGCAATTTGGTTTTTCGGTTTTATTACAACAGAATGCCCGGTTGAATCCGTTTTATATAAATTCGGTTTAAATTCGGGTCTCAAATTAAAAAAGTGTTTAAAATCGGTATGTGAAAATAAAACGGTTCCAACCTCTAGCGCAACATTAGCCCTTCTTTGTCACACGATTATTGCATCGCTTATTCTTCGTGATTGACGAGAATTAAGCGATCACTATGATCACAAATTTCACCTTTATCTTTAACATCTTTACTTTGAATCGTGTTTTTCATATTTTTACATTGCTTATTTTTTTATATGTTGTTTAAATTTTATTAATTGTATGTTTCATATAATTATCCTGTATTTCACCTTGACAAAACGAGGCTCATTGCAAAATAAAATAAAATATATTTAAAACTTAACATTATTAAGGTTTACGATAGTTTCTTAATAATTAATATCAAAATTGACCCTTCAATAATAAACTAATTTATATCTCTTTATAGTTGAACTTAACTTAAACTCATATAAGAATTGTTAACCTACGAAAGGACTTAGTTTAACATTGATAAAAATTATTATAACGCTATTATTTATAAATCCAATTTAAAGATGTAAACTAATAATTACGTATTGTTATTAGCATTTCTTTATTGTTTATGTGATGATCGATACGCTAATAAGTTAATCAGAAGATTTTGTGTTATAGTGTTTTAATGAATTTTATTAATAATAATCGGAAAATCTATTCTAATAAGATAAAGTATTGCCTCAACGCCGGCGATCTATACAGCCAGGTATGTTTTTAATTATATATTTCGGAGTATTACAATAAAAATGTAAAGGGAACTATTATTTTTATTATAAGGAAGATATCGGACGCTCTTCTAGAAAAAAAAAGAAAAAAATCCCGCCATTATGTACTAAAAAAAAATAAAGGACATTATTGTCAAAATTGGAATTAAATGTTCATAAGTTATCGATAAATATATTTTCAATTGAGTTGAAACTTTTATTTATTAGATAAAATAAAATTATATTTATTTTACTGTGTTATTTTTTTTTTTAATTTATTAATTTTCTATTTCGAAAAAGGAGAACAACCTTATGTGAATAAAATGTAAACAAGTATTAAAATATTTATATGTAAGTCAGAATAAGAGAGGTAAGCATATTCTATATTTTAATTTAGTGCTTGTTATGCTAACATTAATAGTGTGATGTTTGTGAAATGATCGGTGTCGGTAAAATCAATGCGTCCCGA